GCGCGTACATCTGATGCCAACGGATGCCAACCAGTTTGCCGAGTGGAAGGCGCGAAAATCACCAGCGAAAAAACAGAACAGTCCCCTTGAACATCAGCCCAAGCTGCAGGCAGTGATCGTCGCATTCCGCATCATCAGCTCCGCCTCTGTCTCTGTCGGCTCATTCCGCAACAGGGCAGCGGCGGCGCCCAGCGGCGAGGCGAACTCCCGCCGCGGCCGGAAATGGAAAAGTCTCAGCGCTTCGGTCCAACGGCGGCCTTGGCCACAAGCCCGGATGACGATGCTGAGGGAAATCCTCGGCCGCCAAGGTCCCAGTCTAAAAATGAGGGTCTTTGGGGGGAGTCAGGTTTACACAAGGGCCCAATCGGCGTTCTACAGCACGCCTGGACCTGTGAAGTCGAGGGCCAAATACAAGATTGCAACTGGTCAAACAGGTGCCATCAAAAACCGGATTTGAGGATCTGAAAGGCTAAGCCTCGCATCCACTGGACTCTGTCGAGCTGTGGCCTTTTGCAGAAGGCCAATGGCGTGTTGCCACTGGGAGCACTTTTCGCACGCACTCAGCGCGGAGTTCAAACACACCGCACCCGGCTGGTCCTTGCGGTTTTTGTGGGCTGAATGAAGCTTGCCGGAAGCCTCAAAACAGAATGCGAGGAGGCTTAAGGTGTGGGGTACTATTTAGTCATTGTTCGTTGGGGCAAACTGCTAGTACTTCTGTTGCCCATGATCTTACGCTTGTTTCTGTTGCATCTGATTCAATCCTACCGCGCTCAAAAGAAGGGGCCCCCATCTGAGACAACGAGCACGTTTCGCTTCGCTCCTCCATTTGGTACAGTGTGTGCAAAGCTCGTCGCCAGTCGGCCGCCTTGACACAGGCTGCCAAAAGCTTGTGGCACTCCTGAATGGTCCCTCTGCTCATCTTCGGCCCTGCCACCAGGTGCAAGGGCGCACATCTCAACCTACCTCTCCCTGCGGATGTCTCAGGCGAAAAGGGAAACCAGGTGAAGCAACGGCAAGGGCTGCGGCATGGCGACAACGCCTGGTGAACTGATAGCTGCAACGAAGCAAACCCAACAAAAGCACTGACAAAGAACATCGCTGCAAATGCAAGCTAAACAATGGTCACACTACTCAGTTCAATGCTGAACTGGGTGCCTGACTTCATCTTTCTCTTCTGCCTGCCCGACACTTGCAAAGCGCTGCTTGTGTAGCGTCTGCTTTGTCGCGCTCATGCTTTGTGTGTGTGTGTGTGGCTAGCAGCTTCGTCTCGCAGGGATTTTCCAGCTTCCGACCGACTTCCAACGCGAATCTGCCTCTGGCACCTCATCTTCCTCCTGGCAGTGAGGACACTTCATCTCAAGCTGGTCTTGCTGGCTGTGCTGAATGTATGTCCATATGTGAACCCGTGGCCATTTTACGATTCCACTGAGGGCCACAACTATGGACGTAAACGAGAAGGTGAAAAGAAGTGGAAAGGAGGACTTGTTGCATCGGAAAGCAACGATCCAGAGAGGACTTGCACCTCCATGATTTGTGCTTGTCTGCAGTAGTAACTGGATCTGCTGGCCGCATTAATTTTGTGGCTTCTTTCTTTTCAGGGGCCAAACTCTCAGAAACAAGCGTTTTTTTATTTATTTAAGTGACGCTTTCATTCTAAAACGTTCCCAGATCTGAGTATCCACCAAACAGCTGGGGAGCCATCAGGGAACCTCTCAGAAGCCCCCATTTCCCCGATACCGCCGATACCCCACAAATCAATCGGCTCGTCTCCTGGCCCAACTGCTCTCGGAGCTCCGCTTCATCCTGAACGTCACTCGGGGTGAAAAACGGACCAGAGTTTCCAGAAACGGGAATGGTGGAATCTCCAGAAAACACGACCAAACCGATAAGCCCCCCCCCAAATAAAAACAAACAACAATATTTCCTTGTGGCGTCCCTTGAATCCAATCAATGTGCGTGTCTGGGATAGAAACTCCAAACCACACACACACACACACAGACACAGACATGTCACAGAGTGGGAGTTCCAGGTGGTTGGTTGGATACCTCTTGAGAGCGAAACCAAACAGGGCGAATCCTGTGGAAACTGATATTTTTACATAGGCCAGGTGCTGGAAGGCCCTGGAACTTGTTTGGCCGGCAAATTCTCACAAGTGACTGCCGAAATTTGGAGCAACTGGCCGACACACGCAAACCGAAAACAGCCATCGAGCTCCTGAAACATCACATTTTAAAAGTATGCTCCAAAAGAGGGAGCCCTTTCACCTTGGTTTAGAGGTTTCCCAAATCGACAATTGATACCTATTTTGGGGGGCTCTATTTTAACTACATGCCCATTTGATTGCTTTTCTATGCCGCTTTCATTGGGCTCGGGATCTTTTTGTCGCATGCGGCGTGGCAAATCGAACGGCCCCTTTAAGCGCCGAACGATGACGGATCGACGGGCGCCTTCACTTCGCTTCGAAGAGACGGCCGTCTCTTGACTCATTTGCCCGGACTGGCGCTGTGGCTGAACTGCCACACCCAAACAAGAGGCGCAGTAGCAAAAACATCATGCACACGAAAAAGAAGCAAATGAGTTGCCGAAGGGGCGGATAGCCACCCTAGGCGTTTGACTATGCGTTGTTTCTTGATAAGTTTGGCTGTGGTTGGCAAGTTCGGGCCGTACAATGCACGCCCAGCACCTAAAACAAGAAGCCACGGCTTAGCCAGCGCTTCAACGTCCCACGTGGTTGCCCTTCGAACCCTGAAAAGGGTTCCCCCAAGTGAAAAATATTACATGAAGCAACACGGACCTGTTTGCTCCCTTTGGGACCCCTAACGCGGGTGCTTTCCCTTTAGCCTCCCCTTAAAAGCCCAAGCAAAACAAAAGGCCCCTTGGTTCCCCCCACGGACACGCGTGTCACTTGAGGCCGGCCCATGGCTGGTGGCCGACCACTCCCCAAGTCACGGCCTTGGGTTGGGGTCCGGGCAACCGTTTCGTTTTCCAGCCTTTCGACTTGACGGAACTAATGTTGGGATCTCGGGTCGTTTTCTATTCTCCCCTCCCCCAAGCATTGATGAACTTGAGTTGCGATTCGGGGCAGCATGGATCAGCTTCCCGAGCCCTTGGGTGCAAAGGCTACATCTCAAATGTCGAGTTGCAACCGCAAGAAAAGAACAACAGTGATCCTAAAGAGGGGACGATCTTGAACTACAAAGGAATACTATAGCTTCAGTTTACAAAAACTCTGCTGGCAACACACTCAGTGCACCTGTGTCAAAGTTGAATTGTTTGCAAGCAAACCACCCAATGCATCAAACGCCTTTGCGGCTAAAACGTCGAGAAGCTTGGTGGTGGCGCGTTGCCTCGGGCGAAGAATCCGTGTAGCGCTGGCCGTCCTTTTCGGCCGAGAAATTCACGGCAATATCAGAGAAGCCCTGCTTGTACCTGAGCTACTGGTTTAAAGCCCGAAAGCAAATGCCGGTACATGCCCGGGAATCGTATCATCTACTTTCATTTTGCTGTAATTGACTAATGGCTCGTTGGCTCATCAAGGGAACCACTAGCTAGCACACTTCCATCTGCCGAAAGATCCGAAACGATGTCGAACCCAGCTAGATAGCTTAGCCGGATTTGGGTGGCACTCGATGCCCTGCTCAATATGCCACATATTATGGTCGTAGGGTGACTATACCGAACCCGTACCGTACCTGGACATTTATCGTACCTTTGCGTGCTTGTTCAACTGACAGCCATTTCACATCTCCTGAAAATAGCTAAGGTCTACCAGACTTGGCTGGTAGTTTTTTTTTCTTCTGCAGCTAGGCGTTGTCAGCGGGTCGCTTGCAGGCTAGGTGCTCATCCCAGTCCATCCAGAACACGCCGTTATCTTTAATGCCCACCTTGTGGCCCGTTGCCTTCAATGCCTCAGGGAAGGCATTCCAGGTCTCCCAGTCGTCGTCATGGAATCTTCCGAACCACTCGTTGGTCTCGTGGGGGTTGCGAACATGAAGCATCCGCAGGATCTTTTGCTGGCCATCGCGGGTGTAGGGAATATCCAACATCCTGTGCTCAGATTCCATGCCGGGCAGGCTGAGAATGGGAAGATGTCTGTTCAACCAAAAGCGTCTGCATGTTTCATGTCGTGGGCCGGCTGAATTTGATAAATTGCTGCCCTGATTCTATATTATTAAAGCTGTTCGCGGAATACACCTGCCAAATACCTATGGGAAGGACAAACAAATGGCTTGCCGATTTGGACATGGGACAAGTATGGAGCGGACAAACAGCGGCAACACCGATGTGCGGCGATAAAAATAAGACACCAATTCTGAATTGATGTGGGCTTATGCCAAGTGAATGGGCGGGACACCTTGCCATGTGCTCGGCTCCCCATAGTGGGATGGAGTAATGGCTCTTGAAAGGGTCGTGGGCTAACACTTGCATGAACAATAATCGCGATGAATATCGTTGTCTAGTCTACCTCCGTCTCAGACAACTTGTGTATTCGGCTGAACACGTTCCCTACAACCAGCCTAATTTCCGAAACGTACCCTGGCAAGCAATATGAATGCTCCAAGCAAGTGAAGGTGCAAAATGAAGCGGACAGGGGTGCAGCGAGCAAGCTACACAAAACAAAGCATACACAAATTGGAAAAGGCCCAGCCAAACACGGCAAAGCGATGCACGTGCCGCACTACAAACATTATAATCAGACCGGCTAGTGGGACATGGCCTTGCTCGTGACCAATCGAACGCGCTAACGCCTCTCCCAGGAAGTGAACGGCTTGCACAAAGTCTATCAACATGGTTTGATTGCAGCCCTGCATAAGGCTTGAGTCCCAACCTCCAATATAAACCCCACTGTGGGGGGGGGGTTAATGGTCCCCTTGTCCATCCCCATTGTCAAACGCGCCGGAAATAGGCCCTCAAGACTTGGATTCTACTCAAGCGTGAGATCCACGAAGATTGCCCTTGCTTGGGGCCCTGGCCTCAACCAATGCAGGGCTTGGCACATGATGAGATGATAAAAAGTCTACGTTGAAAGCGAACAATTGATCTCAGCGGTGCTAAGTTACCCATGAGAGCCTTTTTGTGCACGTAGGAACATGCCTACGAATGGTTGCAAACCAAATGTCCAGGCGCACTCGGTGCAATCATTTGCTGCAAGCCTGTGATTCAAGCCCCTTGCCACGTTCACATTCGGGCCAACCCTCTCCTCAGAAGCGTGTAGGCGTGGCTTCCCAAAATGCCTTTGTAGTTGCCTCGCGTGTTGCAGGCCAGGGCCTGCCCCTCCCCGTTCCATTGCTTCAGCTTCTCCCAGACCTAAGGTGCTGATACCAAATGCGGGGCTCACCGTCCTTGAGCCTTCCCTGTATCAAACACTAAGGTTCATAGGTGGCCTTTTGGGAAAATAGATGGCCCTGGCAAATGGAACAACACCCATCTAAACCAGTGCCATCTATTTTTAACCAGGCTCACCTAAAAAGGACACCTATTACTAAGGTTGGCGCTCGTAATGTCAAATGCCAAGTCAGCGTGTGGATGGACGAAAACAACGCTAGGCACCAGTTAGTCGCTTTCTCCTGGTCATGAAAGGGTCATCCAGCCCAACTCGTGCGGGATCTTGTCAATCCACAGTACCCTTGAAGGGGATTGCTTCTCGGGAACGCCTTGGGGCCCGCGGGGTGAGGGAACCAAAGGCGCCGATTTAGGGGAGTCCAACATGTAATTTTGAGACAAACCCGTACTGGCATAAGCATACTGGCTTATGTTGGTCCATGCGGGTGTCTTTTTGGGAAAAAACACACACACACACACATTGACCGCCACAGGGGAAAAAACAAAACATTTATCACATTTTGGGGGGTGACCCAAATTGAGACGCCATACAGACCTGCACGACATCACAAAAAAGAAGAACAAACGTCTGCTGAAGTCTCGCAGGTTTGTCAAAAGTCCAGGACTTGTCTGGCTGGTGGGTGAAAACCTCGTTGTGTTGTAAAATGGCCAACCTCAGACCTCATTTGCTCCCCAAAAGCAAGCCACTTGTTTTCCAAGTCAAATTCCCAAACAGTTTGCGCGGAACTCAGGCCTTTGCTGGTCCGCTACACGTTGCAACATTCAAGCGGTTGACGCCGAACGAAGGGTCTCACATAACAAACAAATACTCCCCACCTACTGTTCGATCCAAACCTGACAGGCAAATGGAGGGATCGAGGCAAACAAACGGGGGGACACATGCAGCTTGGAGGCCCAGTCATCGCTCAGCTGGGTCTCGCATTCCGTCATGATGGAAGCGTCCACAGTGGCATAGCCTCGGGTGATCAAATGCATCCCTCGATCGAATCTAATTCAGGCTGCCAAGTTTGGACTGCTTTCAGCAGGGAAGCTACCAATCACCAAAGAACAAGGACCACTGCACCACTGAGGAAAGGCTTGCGCGAAAGGCCAGAGGGACGCCAAAGCCCCAAAGTGTGTGCATGACATGCACTCGAGTGAAGCTCAGCGGCTCCAATTCGCATCATAACTCTGGATCCGCATGTGCACCGTACAGTGGGAGGCCGAGGCTTCATCAGGGCCACAGGTGAAGGAATACGGCGAATGTGGCTTCTCATCGGGGCTGATGCTGATGCAAAGGGACGGCTTGCCCGTGAGACACTCCAGAGCTACAGATTCCCAGCCACCGTCCAGTCCTCAAAGCCACGAGAAAGCGATGTCTAATGCCAAAGTCAAAGATGGTTTCCGCTGAAGCCACTACACGAGCAGACTGTCAAATGGGATAATATGGGCGTGGGTCAAGAATAGATACCCCAAATGGATCTTTGGTGAATGGAGACATGGACTAATACCTGCCGTTTTCTGGTGGTTTAATTTTGACCCATCCCCAAATGCATCCAATAAGTCCCATGGCAAGTCGCGGTGGTATGACTCCACAAACTTTGCCACGGCCTTCTCCAGCAAACACGGCCAAAACTCGTTCTCCTTCGTTGGCTTGGCCTCATGTCACAAGGTTTGACCATGCTCACTTGAGATTAATCCGGACGGTTCCAACCAGGAGTTGTTCGCCCTTTGAATGGGGACTAGTTGAGTCATGTTTAGGGGATTCCTCTGGTTAGTGCGGTCCTCTGTCCTTGGAAGATGCCACGCAAGCAAATCACAATCACATCTGAGTTTCCACACATGGCATCAAGACAGCACCGCAACAGTTCACACATCGCACAGGCCACTGTCATTGGATCATGTTGGCGTGTCACACTTTGCGTGTTTGGAAGGACGCTCGAACCAGCAAAGCTCCATCAAGACAGTGGCCTCTGCGGAAGCCGCGAAGCGCAACCAAGGCCGCTGCGAAAACCAGATTCCCGTGCTTGCCTTTCCTCTTCCAATAGGGAAGGCGGTCATCGATGGTGACAACCTTCCACTCCTGAAACCCAGTTCGCCGACTGTCGACTTTGCGGTCCTCCCCCCGACCCAATCATAGTTCAATCCGGGGTCAACATCCTGCACGGGTCCGGATGGCGCAATTCCCCTCGGTTTGGTTTTGTTCTCCCAAGGGAATTGCGGTGTCTGCTATCTCGATAGTGTAAACCGCATTAAGTTTCAACAACCTCGTTTTGGTTTCCCCTTTGAAGGTTGTCTTACCCCAGTGCTTCCACCATTGTGGGCAACCAGCAAAACCATAACGTACAACCTGGAGGTACGGAACCCGAAGGGTTACCTGGACATTGTTTCAACCAGTGGCTCCCCGCTGACACGGTTTGTGTCTTTCTAGGGTACCTGTGTTTCTTGTCGTGGTGCTAAATGAAAACCAGCTCGACAACCGAAGTCCATTTTATCAGCTTCCCTCCAATTGGTGGTTTGGTTAAGGAGCCAGGGGTTCAATTTCTGGGCTGTTCCTATTCACTTGTGGTTTAGTGGAAACCGCTACTAAACCACCTAAACTCCTACAAGAAAATAGGAACCAGATGGCTGGGAACCATTGAACCAACTAAAAACCTAAACAATTGGGGGGATGACACGCCACAGCCAGTGGCTCGGTTCTCTGTCGCCCAATCCTCGGACTGTGGATCGTAGAGCCGGACATCGTATCGGCCATCCGCTGTGAGCTCCTGGCGAAATGCCCTTGGTCGAACCCTTTTGTCGAGTTAGTTCCCTGCTTCGGGGTGGTTTTCCCTTGGGAAAACCTGGAGAACACCAAATTTCTTGGGAGCCATGGTCTGTGCCTCTTGTTTTTCTTTTCTGTTTCTGAAATCCATGTTGTGCCCAAATCCCTATAACACATATCCACGTGGTGATAAAGCTTGTGACTGTATGACCAACGGTCAAAATTACATGTATATAATCTGCCAAGGCGACATGGAATTTGTGAGCCTTTTTTGGTGAGTCCCCCATGCAAATACGTCCCAAAATGGAGCCGCTTGCTATAAGCGCCACGAAACCTGGTACTAGTAGAACCCCCTAAGATCAATATGGGTTTTGCTGTCTGTCAGGGCACCACTTTGACAGCAACATTTCCCGGCTACACCAGGCTTTGGCCTTCGTGCCATGGGCCATGGGAGAGGATTCAATCCGTCCTGTTGCCTGAACAGGGACCGCACTCGATCGGGATACTCCGCCAATGCAGCAAAGGAGGAGACCATCCAGCAATCGCCCAAATAGCCTTGCTGGATGTCCCGGGGGGACACGTGCCTTCGAAGGCGCAAAGGCAGAGGGGTGCTGCGACCGCAATGGTGCACAAATGAAAAAGGCAGACTGCTCTACAGGTCCCACTTAGCTGACAAAAATGAAGACATGGCAACTGTTCAGAACACATTGGCATGCGTACGCAATCAACAAAAAACACAAGCGAGTTCAAGACGCGGACAAGAGTTGCCGCAACAAGCGATGTTCGCCAAAACAGGAGCATGCTTACGGCGTCGATTGGGCCAGTCTACGAGGCCTTGTCACTCCTACGACAAGCATTTTCACAAACCAATGCATCAACTGCCACTCGTGCTTGGCTCAAGTATTGCCTCACGCGACATGTGCCAACACCTCTTGACAAATTTGACAACTTGAGGCTTGTGAGCAAGGTGGAGACGCGTGCTGGAACTTCATTTGCTTGTCTCGTTCTTCCTTGTGCGGCGCTGTCGTGCGGTATTGTGGGCAGAGTCGCAACCCGTATTGCTCTTGGCGGGACACCGGCAACAGTTCAACATATTGCACAACTCAGACTGCACGGAAGAAAGGCCATGTGTGCCTTGAATTTTCAGGCAAGTTTCATACCACACGAAGGTTGTTCAACCCCGCTCCAGGTCAGTTTTCTCCTTAAAGGGGGCCATCTAAGGGTACAAAGTTGGTATCTTCCACTCAGGACCTCTGTTCCAACCTAGGCCGATCGTCAAGGGCTGGACCTCTAAAGGTTTTTGCATATTTGACACTTGCCCATGTTGGGTCTTCTTTGGCGCGACCCCATCCAAGACTTCGCTGGGAACGTGGCTACATCTCGGGCATGTGCTTGACAACGCTTCCTATGCTTCCGCCATACGTTTTGCTGCTGTACTAGCTTGGCTGGACCGGTTCCAAAAGATCCTTCCCAAGCTGGTTCCTCGGCATTTGCTGCAAACAAACTAGCAAACAGACAGACAGACAGACAGACAGACAGACAGACAGACAGACAGACAGACAGACAGACAGACAGACAGACAGACAGACAGACAGACAGACAGACAGACAGACAGACAGACAGACAGAGAGACAGAGAGACAGACACAAACAAACAGGACAGGCAAACAAGCAAACAAACTACAAACAAATCAGACAAAAGAAACAAACACACACACACACACACACACAAACAGACAAACAAACAAAGAAACAAACAAACAAACTGCCGGACAACAAACAAGCAAAGCAAGGAAATAAAGCCACGTGTGGTCTGGCAAGGCCACGAGCTAACTCTGTGCTGAGATGCTTAAATAAGCACGGCTCCCCCTCAGAAGCGAAGAGCATGTACTCAGACGCCTCCTTGCCCATCATCTGACAGGGCAAAGGTCGCGAAAACGAAATCTGAGCTTCGGGTCGCTGGCTTGTGGCTTACAGGGCGCAGGAAGGCACCTGAGACGAGGCCCTGCTTCGGAGTCATTGGAGCCTGCTCAACCGCAGATTCAGAATGAAACCCCAAAAATAATTTCCCACAGAAAAATCCACGAAACAACATGATGATGTTTTGTTGGCGGTTTCGGTGTTGCCCCGTCGGCCTGACGGGGCCGCACCCATCCAGGCACCAACAGCTTCATCATCTCCTTCAGGTAGTCGGCCAAGGGGTTGGCCGCATCGCCTCCCGCGTTTGAAAACACGGAACTCCCCCTCCCCCTGCAGATTGGCATGGAACCAAACAACAAATCCGACAAGAGGGATCTCCGGGGACGTGTTGCCGGGGCTCAAGTTGGAAAAACCGGCGAAGCAGCTCAGGAACCTGGGCCGGCCCTGGGTCTGTGCGAATTGGAAATCACCAATGCCCCCGGGAAATGCTGACATGATCTTGGCCCCCGTAAGAACTGATACCGGTGAAACATACTAAATTCAATGGAATCGCCATGGGCCCAAGGATTTGACAAGTGAGCTGGTTTCTACCCCATCGGTGAGCTTCAAATCAGCCTCAGCTGGTGCGAACGCCCCTGCCTGTGACACCGCCGATGCTAGAGTCAGCTGCTGGGAACTCGGCATCTTCGAAGAGCTTCCCGGACTTCGGCTTCGAGGCAGGCTTCTTGGGCCCCTTGAAGTCGTGCTCCTCAGGAGCAACTGTACAACCTTAGGTGTCCTTTTTGGGAAAATATGTGGCCCTGGTAGTTTATTGAACCACCTATCCCATGTATAGTATACAACCGCTTCCGGCTAGGGCGACCGAGAAGACCTCTTCTAGCCAAACGGACGCCGGCCCAGTACCCAGTTGAAATCCCAGAACAAAGTCAGGCTAAAGCGGCAAGTGAAAGGGAAACAACTTCGGTGTATGATTTTGATACCTGAAGGAGGGCTTTGCCGAGGCCCACTCTCACACCCCAGCTCTTGAATTCCCAAGCGGCCTTGATTTCCGGCTGCGACACAGGTCGAATGGTGGCCTTCTTCAAGTGCATGGGATTCACCTCCGGCGGTGCGGGGTCTGCCGCCTTGCGCACGGATACCTCAGGGTTCGGGCACTGAACAACAAAAAAACCCGCCCCATTTTAACATGAAACCCAAACACCAACCCACCGGGGACCTAGGGGGAAACAAAAAAAAACAAAAAACGCCAGCCTGGATCTCGGCGCCCTTCTCATCTCCCCCTTTGCAATTGCAGTTCCCCATGGCGGACAGAGCGACCACACCGGAGACTCGTCTGTTTTCTGCGGGCCAACGTCAGGCGTGGCTGCCGCGCCCAGTCCCCGACAAAATGTGCACAAGGTTGTTGTGTTGTGCCCCTACTTTGCTGTTGACCCTGCAAAAAAGTTTAACTTTTTGGGGGTTTAGTAAAAAACACCTTTATTTCCCAAAAAGCTGATCTCTAAAGATCCAACCCAATGGCAGTCAAGGCCTATTCCCCAAAACCAACAGTTGACTACCGATATCATCAGTGCCCATGTCCTGGAGCGAACTGGTCGCTCCGAAAGTGTCCCTCTTGAAGAAGGAATTTGGATGCGAGCAAATGACTCCCTTCTAACAGTTGCTCTGCCAGAACCTGCCAGATCCTGCCTCGAAGCTGCGCAAGGCCTGCAATCGCGCCTGGCAGCAACGTGTCCGGGGTATGGCACCAGGTGCCAGGCACGCCCGGTCTTTTGGAGGCTACCATGTTTTTTTTTGGGGGGGTTTTGGCTGCTTCACAGGGGAAACCAAAAGGAAATCCACTTTGGGCCCCCGCCAGCAACCTTTCTGCGAAACATGTCAAGCTAGGCACGGTGAACAAAAAGTCCGTGCCAAGGAATTGTGCAATGCGCAAACCGCCTTGGAGTTGGCCTGAAAACCGTGTCACCAAGGGGGGGGGGACCCAAGGAAAATGGGATGAACTTCTAGGCGCTGGTCTCTGCATCAGCCGTCCTTCTGGCGGTTGTTCCACAGTTTGAGAAACCACCATGCACTGGGCGAATGGGCATCAGCCGTCCTTCTGGCAGTTGTTCCACAGTTTGAGAAACCACCATGCACTGGGCGAATGGGCGGGAACAGGGTTCGGCCGGGAAGGGCAAGAATTGTTCAACCTGGCTCTGGTCTCCTTTGAAGAGAAGCCTAAACGACGTATGATCAAAGAGTGGCTGTCGTGAAACGACCGTGGCTGAAACCAGGGGTCTTGCCCAGCCCTGAATTGGTATCACACAAAGCGTCAACCTACAACCCCGGCGTTCAACGACCATCCTCGGCAGCGTGTTTTTTTTTTTTTTTTAACGGGGGGGGGGGGGGGCGAGGTGGAAGAATCAAACCAACACTTCCACATCCATATCCTTCCCCCTTATTATCTTCCCTTTGAGATCAAATCCATGGGCCCGTGCCTTGAGTGCCGCTCGAAGCTCTGTGACCGCCGAGGGCAGCGGTCGCCCGTCCACGCGCGGCGACGGCTCCGAGGGCTCCTGGGACTGGCGCCCAAAAGCCTTCGATTTCTTTGGCTCAAGTAAACACTCAAAAAGGGCCCTCGGCCCTCATAAACGACTACTGCTCGGTCTCTGACCAGAAAAAGAAACAAATTGTCTTGCCTTAAAAAATCCTCCGCAAAAAGTATAAGTCCAGGAACTCAGGAAGTGAGACCAGGTAGTGGAACCACTTACTAAGAATGCCATCAGGGCTTGGGTGCTGCTCATACATGTTTCTACCAAACCTGTACATCGGCCCCCTGTTTTTGTGTTGTTGACATTTTGAGCTCGAGGGCCCTAATCGTTCGGCGGTTCTCAAGGGGACCAACAGGAACACTGAAATCCATGTCGGGGAAACCCGACAAATCCCTTTAAACAAAGCCACACCCATAGATGAGGATGCGAAGTCTGTCCAGGGGGCCCTGGGAAGAAACACCCAGAGCCTGGACCAAGACAAATGAAAACGACAAAACAAAGCTCCCCCTTTGACTTGCTGGTGTTCAGTAGGGAATGACCCAGGGTTTTAGGAATGAACCTAGGCCTTCCCACAAAGGAAACCACGGTGAATGGTTTGTAAGGGTCATTCCCTCAATCCCTGCTGAGAACCAGAAAGTTGTTTTGGGTTGCTTCAATTGAGACGAGGGAAACTCCACATGGACAAAAGAGCGCTGACTGCAGGATATGGAATGGAGCAAAGGTCCTCCTCCATCGTCTCATCGTTACCCTGACCTCAGCCCCGCCAACCCCCCCGAGCCCAAAGCTTCGCTGGACACAAAGTTGCCTCTGCCAGTCGAAAGCGGAAATGAAGGAAACCCATGGAAGCCCCTAAAGAGAGGTTTTTTTCACACAGAAAAAAACACACACACACACAAAACATTTTTTTGTTCTTAGCCTATATGCGCCGGAAGGCCCAAAAGGCAACAGTTTGGCCTGCAGAACGGCAACGGGATCTCGACACCTTCATTCCGAGCCACTGCGAAGCAATCAGGGCTCAGGCCGCGTTGCCACCTCGCTTTCAGCCATTCGTACCTGGTGATACTCCCTCAAGCCCATGGAATGAACTGGGCTGTTCAGAATGGGGTCGCGGGGGATCCCCAATCCGTACTAAGACACCACAGAACGGGAAACCACTGACTGAGCAACCCGAATATGCTGCCATGCCTCAAGCTCAAGGTCCAACTTGTTCAACTAGAACGCTGGTAGGGGTCAAAGTGTTTGGTCCTTGTGTTTGCTCTCCACATGTCTAAACATTTGATAAGCCCTTCGCGTTTCGAGTAAGACGTGCGACAGCTGCACATGTCCCCACATCCCATGCCCCAGTGAAATCGACTGGCCATTTGCCCTGCTCACTGCCCCGACGGTTTTGCCCGGCATGGCCGATAGACCGGAGGCTTCGGGGGATAGGTGAAGGTGTGGGAGGCCAACTTAGAGCACTTTGTGAAACTGGATGTAATTCAGCTGATGTGACATCACCCCATGTTTTAAACGGGGGATGCGTCCCTGCTTCCGGCTAGCACTCTGTGCCTTGCCTGCTGCCCAACAATTGGCCAATACACAAAAACGATCTCAATGAACGACATGCCCCAGTGTCAGCACCAAGCAAGCCGACAACACGTAGCTCAGGCTGCACTTGCTCAGCTTCCCAAAAAACGCTCCTAAATTCAGATTGTATTGCCGCAAAGCGACTGCCGGCCTCTTTCTTTCCCGGGCGACATGGTCTTGCAGTATCTCCTGGCACAAAATGGGATACCAAAAGCGCAATAGGTGTAAACCGCGTGGGCGTATGTCTTTACTCAAGGCTTCACAAGCCCAGAGAGGATAGCCTTCCGTCTATGCCCAAGGACCGCTCGCAAGGTATGTATGCCCAAGCAGCACGCGCTGTCGGTACTTGTCTGGCAAGAGTTCACCTTACCGCCAACTGACCCCAGGCTTTGCCATGCCCTGAGCAGAAGTCCCAGGAAAAGGGGAGGCATCTTCCAGGGGAGAACGATTTGAGCCTTTGCTTGGGGGCACTCGGAGTTGACATCATTCACCATCTGGAGGCCTGCTTCATGCTGGAAACGAGCTTCTCAGTTACATGAACATTATGATTGACCTACTACTAAGCAGGGGTTAACGGTTCAAACAAGGGGTGCATTGTTTACTGCTTACGTGCTGGGTTCCTTCCGTCCGATTCACATATGCCCTCCAGGCGAAGCTCCCAGTGGGATTGGTTCCATTTCCGGGGGCCGAACCTGGAGCTTCCCGCGCTTCGTCCCGCGGCTCCTGCGCCTCTTCCTCCACGGCGGCTTCTGCCTGGGCCTCCGACTCGACCTGCTCTGGACATAGGAAAGCCAGTGCAGAAGTGGAGCTGGGCTTGAATATCGGTCATTTCAGCAAGCGTTCCTATAATTCCAATTGAACGGGGACTCAGTTCTGCAAGCTTTATGACAATCCCAAAGT